CCTTGCAATGAACAAATTTCTACTTATTCAATCTTTGCTCTGACGTTATTTGTTATTGTCAAACAACTCGTTAAGCGCACAAATGCATATGCGCATGATATTTACTGATATGACACTCTCCTGCTTCTCGTCACCATTTTACCCGCAGCGATTCATAAATAACGTTTTGAAAAACTTGAGCTAATGTTTTGTTACAAATCTGTTTTTTGTAACCTGCATAGAGGTGTTTCTGCTTTATTTTAAGGCTTTGTTCGATTATATTGGTGCGAAATCTTTTTTTTTTTTATCTCAACTCCTTCGGAAGAATTCAAGGCAATGGTTAATTAAGCAGTTGCTGTCAAATGAAACATGTTTGTCCTTAATAGGCGCCTGCCTCAGTGATTGGACAGTTAGTAGTCAATATGTCTGTCCACCGTTGGGCTCCTTCGTTGGGCTCTTTGTATTAATATCCTTATCTCTTTGTAGAATATTAATATTGAATTTTGCCTTGAGCAGGGCAAGTCGGCATCACAGATCACTGCTTTGTCCAGTCAATACTTTGATGGAATTCAGGACGAACTTAGGACTCTTATATTGGAGAAGAAAGCTCCAAACGAAGAAGTATTCGAATGGATCAATGTAAGTGTGTTGCATCAAAAAACTATAAGTGAGAAATATCGTATCATCATGGTTGTTCTCAATTACAGGTAAACGCCGCCAGATTTCTTATAAACACCGGGTCTCTAAGGTAGAGCTGTAAATATTGTATCACTGAATTTTCTCGATAAAATGCCAGGCAAAATAAGCTTCAGGATTAATGGCAAGATATCATGATGGCTACCCCTTCGATTTATGGTCCGCGCGCTTCGCGCTTTGGCCATGAATCGATGGGGATNCAGGCAAAATAAGCTTCAGGATTAATGGCAAGATATCATGATGGCTACCCCTTCGATTTATGGTCCGCGCGCTTCGCGCTTGGGCCTTAAATCGATGGCGAAAAAATTCGGTCCGTAATTTACAATACGGACCGAGAAGACGAGGTTAGTAAAAGGTATATCAGTAGCAGGTTATGTTGGAGTATCGTCATCAGCTAGCACCATCCTGAGCAGGCCAATCAACTCATATCAACTCTTCCATAATGCCGTGCAAAGATATGCGTATTTATGGTGATAAAAGTCAATGTGGTTAACTTATTTCCTTTTCGCTAGGAAAATCTTCATCCAGCGGATACCAGAGAGATTCTGTTCATTAGAGCTCTGGTAACGGTACTATGTGAAGACACAATGGATAGAGGTAAGTTACCATGGTTGCGAGTTTGTCTGTTCTGCTTAGTGAAAACATTCTTTTACT